TTTTAAAGCAATTACAAAATCAATATTTAAAACAAACTTACCTTTGTTAACGTCGGCTCCCTTCTTTTAGCCGATTCATTCGCCCTTTCTTTCTGAGAAAACTTTTGAAATTTACAAAATCTTGCAAAAATGCGAGCAAATATGAAATATATTTGCAAGAAATTTATCAATCATCAAATCAAGAAATGTTTGCTATTTCGCTGTCGTCATGCAGTCGTTATAATGCAAACTTTAAATTGGACCAATCTGTGTCCGCTATTCATGACAGTCCGCCATATTTTTGAGATCAGTGAGGATGACCACCCCCCGAACCACTCACGGTAACCCACGCCCGCGCTCATTGATGAACTTTAGACTTGGCTAAAACAGGGTGGACTTTCGTCTACGCATGCGCGAGAAACGCAAGCGTGGAGTGCACGCGAGCGCGGGTTAATCGCGTGACTGAATTATAAAAACAAACATCAAATTTGCCAAAAGTACTCGTGTTATGAAGTCGTTTTCTTGTTTCTTTAGTGTTTCTACGCTCACAATTTTAGGCATTTCCAACTTAGAAGTGTTTGCTTTGGAATTAAGAACGTCAAAGTAGAAATAAAAACTTTGTTGCAGCAGTTTAATTTCGCAGTGCAAATATACCTGTTTTTAATATGTATATCCTTTTCGAAGTGAGATATACAAGTGCAAATTGACCTTCTTTAAATTCGTACTTGCCCTATTTTTCACTCCATAAAAACTACTTTTGTCCATGGAGAAACTATTTGACTCTAAAAATAGGCTTGAATTTTTATGGTGATATATAGGCTCATTTCTTTGCAAACAGTGATTTAGTACTCGGTAGTGTAGTTGTTGTTTATGCACAAAAGTCTAAAATGAATTCAACATTCGTCAACAAAAAGGAGTCGCGCTTATTACTGCTCTGTAGAGGATAGACAATTAATTTAATTCACTAGGAACCCGTTCTACAATATAAACTAGAAATCAGCCAACAAATTGCCACGAAATACTACAATGAAAATAGGGTCTCTGAACTACCAATTTCACCGAACGGTCAAGTTTCTCTGCAAAGATCGCCCCTTTGCCCAATTTTCCTCGAGTAGATCATCGTGTTTTTAAGTCAAGGATTATGTATACTTTAACATAAAAGAATAAAAAAATTGGTGATAAAGGGTAGATTTTGAATAAAATACAAATATCTGTATACAAGATCTGAGCGTTATTATCAAGCACTCGATAATTTTTCCAACAACATAGTGCGATTATTTTTTTACAAAATTAAAAATATTCACACATTAAAGATATGAAAATGTAGCTTGCATTACAAAGAAATGTTGGCTTACCTAAGTTATACCTTACACGTCGATTAAAGTCAAGTAAAGCCCTTTCAAAGACGCTTGTCACATTAAACTACAGGTCACATGGCGGTAGAGAACCCGACGAAGTATTCAGGATATTTCATAGCCAGTTTAAACGATGCTGTGTACTATTCCTGTGAATTATGATGCCCAACAACACACCGGATAACACAATTTACCACTTTTTTCGGCTGTTCCAAGTACACTTTTAAGATACAAGGTCCGATCATATCATGTTCTTCGAAGCATCTGCTCAAAACAGTACAACATAAATATCGCCACTCATCTTCTTCGTGTGAAAATATAAGTTTTCCTTTCAATTGCTTTGCTTTAAAAACAGTCATTAGGTTGTTGAAGAGTTAGTATATAACTTCCAACAAAGATTACGCCATTCCTTTCAAAAACCAGTGAATCACAATGCTGTAAACTTCAACATCCTTAGAAATTGTAAGCCAAACATCGAAAAGCAAAATTTGCAGGAAAAAGCTACGAGCCCGCACTATTTTTATGCAGCGTCGACAAAAGTCCACCCTGTTCTTGGCTGATGCTTTCGTTTCCCCGGATGTAAATAGCCGGGGGGAATTAGTACCCTCGCACGGCGCGAAGCGCCGTCGGCTCGGGGATTAATCAAATTTGCACTGAAACGGCATTCTCTATATATTGTCTATCTCTTAATTTGAACCGAATCCAGGACTGACTATTGCCGAACGTATAAACTTCCTAAGAAAACATGTTTCCATTAGTAATGATGTGGGCATAATAATTATTTTAAACGTAATTTTTAGCATTGTATGTTGTTTAATGTCAGATTAAGGAGTGGTTATTGTGTACTGCTCTAATTTTTTACTTGGAGATGTAATAAAATATCTATGGGGAGTGACGGAGTCATTATTTTATATGTTGCGATTAAGAAAACTCCCCGTCTGTCGGTGTAGACTTTCCCCAGACTCGTCCCCAGTCGCTTTTAAATATAAGAGCGGGCGCGCGGGCTGAGGCCAGAAGTGGGCACGTAGAGGCTCACGGGAAGGGCGAAAGAAGAAAAATTAGCGACTTGCAGATTACTGTGATTTTTCTTGCAAAAACGTGTTTTTCTTGCAAACTAATATTTTATGCTTCAAGTTTGGATTTTTTGACATTGGTATACATAAATCGATCATTTTATGATGTACATACATACATACATACATCAACTTTATTTAAACACGGAAAATCATCAGTATAGTTATTTACAAAAATATTAAAATATTTTAAAAGGAGCAAAAAGAAATATAGATACTGTTCTACCTGATTGCCGTGTGGGAGTCAGATCGATTATTTATTAAGAAGGCTTCTAAACCTGTCTTAAATGCAGCGAGAGAGGTTACTGATCTAAGAGATTCTGGCAGGCCATTCCATAAAGAGGCTCCACTGTAACTGAAGGAGCGTTTCAAATAATCTGTGCGTGGTTTTGGGACATAAAGTTTACCATAAGAATCTCTCAGGTTATAAACACTCTCACTGGGAGAAAACATCTCTTGTAAATAGAATGGTGTATGTTTATTAATAGTATTAAACATGAGGATTGCCTTTTGCTTTAATCGCTTAGTGGACAATGATTCCCAATTAAGTTCTTCAAGAAGAGAACTTGATGAAATATCATAAGATGAACGGGTAATAACACGGGCGGCCCTATTGTAGTCTCTGCAAAGTGCGTATTTTTATCAAGTATATCGGCCTTCAGTTGGTCAAGTCTGGAGTACTTCAAAATGGCGGACTCTGATGAACTTAGATGGTGAGTGTAAAAGATAATATAATACATTCTATTACTTGAATATCTTGAATCTGTTGATACTTTTGAGCCGTAGCATAAATTTGCGTATACTAAAGAAAATAAGAAACTGGAATTCATTATATGCTTGGCTGATTAGCGCCATGTTGCCTTGTTTCAAGTTGTAATTTTTGTCGTTCTGATCTATAGACTTCAATTCCATAAATTCAGATGAATGTCCTAAGACCAGCACTCCTAGAACTCCTAAAGCGAGAAAGTCACTGCCATTTGACGTCAAACACGACCTAACACCAGATTCAAAGAGTCCGGGATTACCAAGAACTAAATACAGGAAAGGTGTTCAAGGTTGGAACTTGTATTTTTAATAAGTCACTTCAAAAGTCCATCAGCACAGTATCACTAATAAGATATAGTAATATAATTGTTTGAATGTGCAGGTGATGTTGGCACATTTGTTCCTGGAGATCTTCAGGGCTCTTTAAAGAATATATGCATCAAAACAGATGGGTTGAGTGTTAAACAAGGGGATGTTGTTACTGATGATCTTAGTGTAAAAAGCCACCTTTCAAGAGCTTTGGCAGCCATATTTCCTAACTGTGAAAAGAAAAGGGGGTTGTGCGAACATAAACAAATATATTCTTTTTACATGTGTAAAGGCTGATGTGCATATGCAATACATGATCAATCCAATTCATTACATTGTATTACAAATGACATAATATTTTTATATTTGTCTGGTATATTGTGTTTTTGTTAATCTTCCTCAGGATGCTACGTCAGAGAATAAGGTACACAGAAGGCCGACTTCTTGGGTTTTTCTATGATTTTGGCGTAACCCGTAATTCGTCATCAAATGCTGACACCATGGTCCTAGCCAGTGCGTGTTTGAGAGGCATTCACCCCCCTGATATTATTCAAAATGGCGAACGTCCAGGGGGGAATGCCTCTTAAACGCGCACTGGCTAGGACCATGGCGTCAGCATTTTGGTGATGAATCATGGCGTGGCAGCGGTTACTCGAGTCGACCTTCTGTGTGCCTTATTCTGTGGCTACGTGCCCCTCTCTGACCTTCCACGGCTGAATTTTTCTGCACAACCCCCCACCCCCCATCATGCATAATCCGAAAATCTGTCTATGATGGTGATGATAACATATGAAAGTATAAAGCTTTATTAAGTTAATATAATAGACATGCTCCACTACATCAAAAACATCATGTACACTAATTGTAATTACAATACATTTTAGTTTTAAATTAATTTAAAATTCTTCACTGTTAATAATTCCATTGAAGAAGTCCAATTAAAATGGTTCAAATTAATCCAGCTTTTTGTGTCTTCAATTTCCATACATCTTGCTTGGTACTGTATCTTGCCACCCAGATCAGGATTAACCCTAAGTGGCAATGCACCCTGATATGCCCTACATTATTATTTTACTCTGTCTAACACCAGACAATTTACTCATCAAGGGAGAGTGCTGTTACTCTAGGGCTTAATTGGGAAACCAGGGGAAGTCAGGACAAATTCCCAATTGTGTGATAAATGGTGTCCCAATTGTGAGATAATTCTGGAATAAACAAGAATATATTATATGTTGTAAAGTTGAGTACAGATATGATGATGGGAAGAACAAGAGATACCAGAACCATTGGTGTTGCAATTATCAGACTTGATGGTATAACAATCAAAAGTCAGTGCCGTAGCAATTTCGATAATTGGGGGGGGGGGGGCTCATATTCATATATTTGTATTCACAGACCATAAAAACAATCGATTTCAAAAGAAATTAATAACGCAGAACACGAATATATGAATATGGCCTCCCCCAATTATCAAGCTTGCTACGGCACTGAAAGTGGCCCTAAACGTTGGCCTTGATAGGAATGCCCCAATCAGGGAAAAGAGAGTTAAAAGTAAACCAAATGTTCCTTGGCTCACTAGTACAATTAAAAAACAAATCCACGAACGCGATCGCCTTAAATCTCTTGCTATTAAACATAAATCCGAAAATTACTGGAACGCATACAAAACCTCTAGAAATCGCGTAACTGATGCATTGCGAGAAACAAAAGTAGCATATTATAAAGGAGAATTTAAGAAAGTCAAACATGATCCCAAACAAGCATGGAAAACTGTGAATAAAATCCTAAACCGTAAACATGAAAGTAGAGAAATAAATTGTCTTGAAACACAGAGAGGACAAATTTCACATCCAACGGAGTTAGCGAAGTGTTTTAATAATTATTTCACCAATATTGGTCCAGATATTGCCAAAAATATCGACAATGGTGACAGAAATTTCAAGGATTACATCACGACAACAACTAGTAGCTTTAATTTTCAAACAGTGTCTGAGTCGAACGTATACAGACTTCTGTTATCTCTAAATCCTCGTAAATCTACTGGAATTGACAAAATCCCGGCTAAAATTATTCGCATTGCTGCTCCTGTAATTACAAACTCATTGACAAAAATTTTCAATATGGCCATTATAAGTTCAACTGTTCCTTTTGAGTGGAAAATAGCAAGAGTCACTCCCATATTTAAAAACGGCCCACGAAACTTATTAAACAACTATCGCCCCATTTCTATCCTCCCTGCAGTAAGTAAACTTTTTGAAAAAGTATTATACGAACAACTCCATGAGTATCTTGTTACACAGGAGTTGTTGTCCCCTCGTCAATTTGGTTTCAGGAAGTTTCATTCTACAGCCTCTGCTCTTTTAGATAGTCCAAATGTGCTGCGTTAATGGCGCTCTGTCGGGCACGAAGTTGGTTACATGTGGAATCCCTCAAGGTTCAATTCTTGGCCCACTCTTATTCTTGATCTACATTAATGATCTGCCTAACAGTTTGGAGTACTCGTCGACAAGAATGTTTGCCGACGATACGACTCTAACTGTATCTGGCAAGTCAATCCAAGATGTAGAGGTGGCCATAAATCATGACCTTACCAACGTTAAACAATGGCTTACTGCAAATAGATTATCTCTTAATCTAGTCAAAACTGAGTATCTACTAATAGGATCTCGGTACAACATAAATAATTTACTTGCTGCACCAAATGTATTTGTTGGTGATACACCAATTAAAAAGGTCAAAGAAACAAAAGCGCTTGGAGTTCATATTGACGAATTTCTATTGTGGGATAAGCATATTGATAAAATTGCTAAGAAGATTTCATCCGGAATTGGGGCGATCAGAAAGCTAAAATCTTGTGTGGATCATAATACATTAATTTATGCTTATAATGCACTTATACTTCCACACCTAGATTATTGTTGCGAAGTTTGGGACACCATTGGTGCCACACTTTCTGATCGACTCGAGAAACTACAAAATAGGGCAGCTAGAGTTATTACTGGTCGTAAAAACGAACACGGTCAATCTGAACTTGCTCTAGACGAACTGAAATGGAAACCTTTAAGTGAACGCAGAACACATTGCGTAGCAAGTCTTATGTATAAAATAACTCGTGAACTGGCGCCAAAACGACTAACCAATATTTTTCAAAGGACGTCTTCCTCTTATTACTATAATATGCGAGGCTCTTCCACCAAACTCTTTTTGCCCAAACCTAAGACTGAATATCTTAAAAAAAGTCTTAGTTATAGAGGAGCGAAATTGTGGAACAGCCTTTCTGATGAAGCAAGAAACAAACATACTATTGCTTCGTTTAATTCATGTATACGACACCTGGCCAATTAATTAATTAATTAATAAAATAATTACGTTAACTAAAAATATTGAACAGTACTAACATTAATTTAATTTGTAAATAATTATATACTAGTTGTATTTGTAAATGTATTGTAATTGTTGTTAACTGTAATGTAATGTAATGTATGACCATAATTTGTATCAATTGTATTTTTTAACTATTTAAATCTACGCCCCCCTTGGAAATCAGCCTTCGCTGTAGGGGTTAGCGTAGTTAAATAAAGTTTTACCTACCTACCTACCTACCTATGATACAAGGTAGAAATTACCTTCCCATTTCAAGGACTACGAGTGCAAGGATTGTCAGAACATAGTTAGAAGTAATTTCCAGATTGCCCCCACATGCAGTGCATTGATACAGTATTTTTGGTTTTTCAAATTGTTTAATGGACCTTTAACCTTATAACTAAAATTTTGATCTAGACAAGTCTAGACAAAAATTTCATCACAGCTTGAAAGAGCATCACAAAATTAGTAATATTCCGAAGTTTCGTTGCGAAATATTGTAAAATGCGGATAATATAGCCTTGCGAAGTTTGCAATTTTCAGTCATTTTAGATTACAAACGGGAAATTGATGACCCAACACCCGATTTGGGCATCAATTTCCTGTTTGTATTCTAAAATGACTGAAAATTGCAAACTTCGCAGGGCTATAATTATTATCCGCATTTTACAACATTTCGTAACGAAACTTTGGAATATTACTAATTTTGTGATGCTCTTTCAAGCTGTGATGAAATTTCTGTCTAGATTAAAATTTTAGCTATAAGGTTAAAGGTCCATAAGGCTATGATAGGAGTTATGTGCCACCTGAGCTTCTATATTACCCCTACAACCCTGTGCCCCCCAACAATGTGTTGTCAATGGCCAATGTAATGTCTTTTCATCATACAGCAACATTACTTAGGAGGGGGGTATATTTTGTTATTTACAGGTATTTTGGGAAATATTTGAATGCTCCAAAAGTCTTGTCATTGATTTAATAGCCTTGTATGCAAAGTTTTAAGTTGGCACATATTACACAAAACCTGGAGTTAATAGCACTTTATAAAGTAATTTCTAAATAACAAAAATTTGTAGTTTCGGCAACCAAATTGTGAAATACACAGGTTGCAAAAAAAAAACCAGCAAAGAGCTGTTTTCTTTATAATCCAAAGAGTTTAAGAGTGCATTTCATCGTGAAATATAAAGATAACGCATAAATAAAATTGAATAAAATATCTGTTTTTATATTGCTCGCTGGCTCCAATTAAAAAAGGCATCCAACACTCTAGATTTACGAATACCTTCGATTTGTTGTTAATCGATAGCTTTTCCAAACATGACAGTGTTATTTTTTCCCTCGCGCGCGTCTATATATATATATATATATATATATATATATATATATATATATATATATATATATATATATATATATATATATATATATATATATATATATATATATATGTATATATATTATAGATATGGATATATACCTATTCGTCCCTATAAAATTGAAATTCAAATAACGACTGGGGATGAGTCTGTACTTTCTCCATATACAGCAATCTCAGCAACTGGACATTAATTAACACTTCATTCATTTTTTCGCTCGCACGTCACTCTAGTTTTTATAAATGAAATCAAAGCCCGGTCGAATTGCATTCACGACCCAACGTTTCGACACTCCAGTCTGGTGTCTTCATTAGGGGTGATCTGAAGTCGCAATGTGTCTTCTTATGTATACCCATGGCGTGACGTCATCTGCATGCCGACAAGAATACAAGATGGATATATTCTTGTTGCAAATAAACACCGTCATTCCACCATTCAGTTAGACCGATATTTGGGGGGTGCATATTCATATATTCGTGTTCTGCCGGACGGGTTTCTTTTGAAAGCGATTGTTTTTACGGTGTGTGAACATGAATATATGAATATACCCCTCCCCCCAATTATCGTGTCTAGCTACGGCCCTACATTCAACCGTGCACATTACTCATAACTTTAAATATATATATATATATATATATATATATATATATATATATATATATATATATATATATATATTACCTCAAAACAAAGAATGTGTCCACTCCATAAGCTGTAAATAGAACGATTGGCGTCAATCTTCTAGTAAATCGTATCAGATCTTTCTGATTGTCTATTAAACAAACACAAATCTCAGCATGTATGTATTTTAACTAAAAGAAAAACAAATGCCCTAAATTGGAAGCCAGTGAGAATTCAATATATAATTAATATCTTCAAAGAATCTCATTTCTGCTACATTATACCATTGTGCTATAATTATGCTCCACTAAGTGAATCAGAAGTGCAATTATCTTTCATTTAGCTTTCAAAGATTGAATTAGTAATGGTAAATATATTAACTGAGTGAAGTGCAATTTGGCCGTCCGAAATTAAACGCGTGAACGCGTGATCGATCACAATTTTTAATCACAAGTTTGATTTCAGACCATAATTGCACGACGTGATGTTCAATTACCACTTTAAAAAAATACTATTCTTGTTTACAAACAGGCGCGTAGCCAAGGGGGGAATGGGGGGTGGGGATCCGGATCCCCCCACGTTTTGTAAAGATCAATATTGTAGTTCTTACAAAAGTGAGAAGAAACTAGGGGGGGGGGGTTGTGAATATTTTGAAATCTCAGACGTAAATCATCAAATTGAAATAATCGCTTAATTTTCTTCTTTCCGGAATAAGGAAACATTTGCCGAGTTTGTGCGCACTGCTGAATCCAAGGAAATCGAATTTCACGTTGAAGATTCGTTTAGAGATCCCAGCAACAAACTCCGTAGAACGCTTCAAAATCGTCTAGCTGATGGACAAACATTGCTTGATTGCATCATTTATAGTCACCACCACGTTGCCTCTTCAACTCAACTCAAAACAAAACAAAACAAAACAAAACAAAACAAAACAAAACAAAACAAAACGAAACGAAACGAAACGAAACGAAACGAAACGGAACGGAACGGAACGAAACGAAACAAAACAAAACAACAGTGTCAGCAGAAAGTAAATTTCGCACTGATTTTTAATATTGATCTGCTGCATGCCGAGCGAGCTGAAGAGGCGATTTTCAGTAGAATCTTATGAATTATTGGACAATTCACGGCATTCAATCCAGCGCGTTGAAGTGATGATAATTCATACAGAAAAGGTGCGGAAGTTGGCAAGAAGATACAAAATCCCAGAGGAAGCAACCTGTCGGGAAAATTCCTTATTCTAGGAGTCTGGATGCCTTCTCAGTTTGATGCAGGAGATGGAAGAACGCAAGAAACAGGAGTGGTGCGTTCCAAAGAATTTTGAACAATTCCAAACTTGTGATTTTCCGCACAGATTGAGGAAATTAACAAA